TACACATTTTTTTCTCTTGAGGGGTTGAGATGTATCAGTGTTTCTTTGATCCTATTTACAGTCTTTGCATCATCAGACTATCACTATTTCCTCCTGTTGTGTGCCTTAACAACTCTGCTGAAGGGTGAAGGAAGGGTGCAGTGTAGAGATTTTAACTTTAAGATTTTTAAAGATTGGAAATAGTTGAAACTCCATTCTGTGAGAGTAAGCAAAAACAGTAAAAGTTGTGAACTAAACAACGAGCTGAAACTCACTATAAAGTTTTGTAAAGCCAAGAAGAGCTACAGATTTTCTTGATTCCTTTGACATGACCATTCTTCTTACACAGTAACTATTTCCCTGCTGACTTCTGATCAATTTTCCCAATAATCCTAATGTACGGACCAAGATTTTTCTTGCCACCCACTTTGGGAATCACTGGTCTGGTGGTCAAACTGAAACGAATAATGGTGAATAAAGGTGAAAATATTGCATCTGTGGCAGTGTAGGCCTGTCTTTGATTCCTCCACAATACATCCGGCAGATCTGTCATTTCTGTACCAAATGAGTTACCGCAACAGTTTCTGTCTGTGTGGACATATTGCTGTATTTACCACTTTTCTGGTTTTGGCTTCTCAATCTAATGATCAGTGATGAAAGACAAGAGTAACAATACAGTTGTGCTTGTTTCTGGCTTCATAACTTGAGTTGAGAACGCACCTGCACACACAGTGATCGGAAATCTGTTTTTACATGACACAGTCGAGTCTCTCAAAATCAGGATAATGGCTTATCCAGGACTCTGAAACCAGGATATGATGGTTACATGTAAAAAAAAAAAAACCCTGATTGTAACCTTGTTATGATACTTGTGCAGGCAAACATATTGACTTTTCACTAGCTGATACCCGTAAGCTTTAAGAAGTTCCATCATCTAACGTTTTTCTTTTACAATGAGTAATTTTCAGTGAGAGCTGCCCCACAGGTGTAACCAGTGCATGTACGGTAACTGATATGTTAATCAGACTCTGATTTACACATGAGTCTGGTTCGTGCTCTTTTTCCATTTTACAGTACTTAAAAAAACATGAGCTCTGACAGCTTACGCTCCTTGAGTGGCATGATGAATGAGCTGGGTAGTTAGCTGACCATGCTACATCACAGCCAACTGGCCTTGGCCTGCGTCCCCTGCCCAAAGGACTCTGGGCAATGCTGTCAAAAGTGATAAATGGCACCTGTGATGTCCCCTCCCCTTTTTCTGTGCAGCCAAAGAGTCATACTAGCTAGGCACACCCGAGAACAGTTTGATTTACGGGCACTGAGGGAGTTACACAACAGCTAGTTGATTTGATGCATACTGGAATGGATGCCTTCCTGACACCCAGCATTGCCTTGTGAGTCAGCGATTGCCTACTGAGCTATTTTCATCTGCTCCCTTCCTCCACGCTGCTATTTTCCTTGTGTTTTAAGAAAGAGGGGGATAGAGCCTCAGCCAATCTACGGCTGGTTCCTAGCTGGTCTAACAGGATGATCCAAAAGCACTCCCACATGCACAGGCACGCACACAACACGTCTGTGCACATGCTGCCAAAAACAAAAAAAAATACACAGAGGAACAGTCACAAAGAGAGAAATCGCACGTGTGGACAAAAGAGCCCGTTTGATCATACAGTCCACACATGCACAGACGGACTGTGCCGATCACCTGCCAGCTGCCTGAACACTGGTGTTTACACTGGAAAGATATTAAGGTCCTGTGATGTGTACTGTGACATAATGCAACATAATGCAGTCGAGTCTCGTGCAGTTTTCTCTGGCAAACTTGCTGTCAGGCTAATACTCACTGTGTGTCATATATGAGCAAAAGACATTAAAGTATGGAAATATATGATATATATATGACTATCCTGCAATGGTGGCAACTTAAAGTGGCTATAATTGATATAGTTTATATCCCAGTGCATGAAAAGACAATGGAAAATCTGGAAATCTGCAGATCTCCTTAGATTTATGATGCTTTATATCGAGCTTCAGCTCATTGTTTTTTTTGGTTCACTCTCACCCCTCTCCCTGCAGTCGGCTGTTTATAACACAAAAAAAGCTCTAAAAAGTATGAACATAAAAATATATTGCGAGGCAGTTAAATCACAATACAAATATGTGAAGATTCAAATAGGTGAGATGAATCGTGATTGTCTTTTTAAAAAACAGAGAGCACTTTCTTTTGACTTACATCCTACATCACTCATGTCCATAGCTGTATCAAGGAACAAAGATCAGTTTCATTTTTACAAAGAAAAGGGAATATGTATTGTTTTGCACAATTTATATCCTACCTCAGAATGACTCATTTTCTATAATTTCATATAGAAAGAGAAATTGTATTTTGTTAATTTTTGTCTAAGAAATAAAAGAATCCTTTTCAGTCATATTTTGTCTTCAATCTCATTTTTGTTAAAAAACAAACAAACTTCATATTATTATTATTATTGTGCAATAACCAAAGCTACAACAGTAGTGACTCTATGTATACAACAATGATAAACAGGAATAAAATACATGAATGACAGGAAAACAAGTAAAACTAACAAAATCATATCAAAATATCATACTGAATCCAGTATTGAGCTAAAAAACCATTGTATGTTACCTGATAGCAGACAGACAAAGTCAGAGACAAGCTAATAGATTGTGGAGCATTTAGCGCCATAACAAGGTAATAATATGGGAGTTTACAGCTTGTTCCACTGCCCCCAAAGTGGTAAAATAATCAGTTGATCCAGCTTAAACCATGTCTTGCAACCATGATTTCTCACATTTTAGAACTGTCAGGGTCACTTTGGAAAAACAACCTATTTTCTCATTTAGATACTACTACTTGGATTAGGTTCAAGGCACTCAGGTGGTATGCTGACGTAAAAAGTCATTTTATGTGACCAAAGTTTTAATTAGCACAGCTCAGTTAACTGTGTCCTGTTTTCACATTTGGTTTTAAAATGACCTCCAAGAAACAAAGGAAAAATGCTCAACCTGAGAAGAAAGAGCTGATACAATTGCCACAGCGGGTTTGGATGCAAATTATATAAGCAAATGATTATTAGTATATTAGATTAGTCAGGACTAAGCTTTAACCTTGTTGTATGTAGTGACCACATTTCCATAAAAATCCTCTTCAAACTGCATACAGCATCCGCCTACATTCAGGCTCGAGGACATAATTATCCATAGACCAAAAATCTGATAAAATTGCCAAGTGGGTATTATTATTCAATAGTGTATGGAGTACCTATTCACAGGCTATATCACTACAAGGTGCAAGATAACACTGGCAATATATATCCAGACTAATTTCCATAGAAAATATCTACATCTCCACTATCGACCAGCTCCAGGAAAGATGGTGCAGCGGCCACTGATAGATGGCCAAATGTGGCCTGAGACTGGATTAAATAAAGGACAGGGGCACAGGAACATCCATTTTGTCTGTGCTCCTCTCATTGGCAGCACAGAAATGATGTATTTATCACACATACACACACACACACACACACACACACAGCTCCTGCTAAGCTTCCTTCCCATATCCCTCTCTCGCTCTCTGCTCCTCTACCCAAAATATCCCTCATCCAGCTTCATCCCCCCCCTCCTTCCCAATCACACACTATCCACTCTATCTCCTGGATCTCTGGGCTCATTTGCTGAGGCTCTCGGGGCCACACTCTACTGTAACAGCGAAAGCGTACGCTTCGCTCCCAACCAGCTCCCTGCTTCATTATAGAGATTACCACAAGAAGTCATACATTACCTTGGGCCCAGATGGTATACGTTGTTCTGCTGAGACAACCTCTGTTCCTCCGTCTCTTCTCCCTTGTTCCCCTTTCCTTCCCCTCTCTCCAGGGATTAAAGCCCCACTCCCCTCCCTTTATGTCACCGTATATAGTACTGAAACGGCCAAGCTCTGCTGCCGTCATCAGTGGACCTGGAGAGTCTAGAGCCATGAACTCGGTGGGTGACTATTGTGTTCATTACCTACATTTGGTGGAAGTTTCACATGTAGGTCTCATGTTTGAATAAGCACCCGAGACATTTTTTTCGTAAAAGTCACAACAACGATCTGATTAGGTCGGACTTGATGACATTTTCCTCCAACACAGCTCAGGTCTGAATCGAATGTTGTCACATTAATG